GGTTTGCTTGGGGATTTAGCGTTGGGCGTGACAGCTGAGGTCCGAGTGGACGCCCACACCCCCAGGCAGGTAGGGGTAAACTTGAGAGTTCTTTCAAAACAAACTGTTCAGCTGATTATGGTCTCCGTGCTTCCGATTGTAAAGTCTTGAACTGCAAAGGGAGCTGAGTGCCTCAGGGGGTGGAAGGCAAAGTTTGTTTGGAAAATCACCTATCTGCACTTGCACAGTTGGGATTTGGGACTTCTCCAGAAAGCGCCACCTGATTTTTTTTTTTTTAAAGCCGGTCAGCACCACCTGGTCTTGATTGTTTTCAGTGCAATAATGCAGGCGATAATCTACCAGAATTTTTTTTTGTGTTTCTCTGATTTATAGGGTTTTTTTTAGTTTATGTTTGAAGAAAAGGCTGAACTTTTGGGATAAGATGATGGGAAAAGGCATGCTCCATTTTTGAAGGGGTAGAGATTTCCCTAAATAAGATTGACCGATTATGAATTTTACAAGTCAAGGTTATTATTCCTGTCCCTTCAGAGCTGATTACAGTCTCATTTTACACCATTTTTCCGTTGTCATATATATGTTTTTTAGTTTCGGTAGCTTTGTTTTCTAATCATTTCATATTCCTAATGTAATATTTAAAGGCTAGAATTCAATTGGATTTGTGAAAAAAAAATGTTCAACAAATACTTGCACACATTAGGTGCTTGACACTGTTTTACATGTTATGGATACAGAAATGAGCAAAATGGACAAAGTACCTACTACTTTAGAATTTGTGATCTAGTTGGGGGAGACACATGATTTAACAAATATCTGATGATGGTGGTAATTGCTACACTGAGAATTAAAATAGGGTGTTGTGCTGGCCAAGATAGTGGCTATTTTAATTAGGGAAACCCTCTCTGAGTAGGGACACTGCATTGAGCTCTGAATTAGAAATAGGATCCTGAGAGCAGAGGGAAGAGCATCAGCTCAAGAAAACCGCTTTATGAAGATCCAAGATCAGAATGAGTTTGGCTAGGGAGACTGGAAAGAAGTGAGGGAGAGTGGCAAGTTGAGGTCTTAGAAGTAAGCAAGCAAGTGTCAGATCATGTAGGATTTTGTTTGCTGTGGTGAGGAGTTTGGAATTTATTCTAAATTTGTATATTTGTTCTTGAGTGCAGTCTGGCTAAGTTCATTTTTTTGCTACTCTTTCTCCCTGGTTTTCTTCTCTGTTTCCTTATTCAGAGTTAGTTTCTTGCCTCAAATCTTTCTTACCATTTTATTCGTTATCAGACAAGATGACAAACCGTGACAAGATAGCTTTCAGCACTGCCACTTAAATTTTGTTAGTTTTTTATGAGTGAATCCTACAGTTGCATCTTAAAGGCAGAGCAAGTGGCCTTGGCTCCACCCTGTGGAAGGAGCAACTGAGACAGTTGGTTACAATAGTGAAAAATCTTTTTGAATAGACATTAGCAGATCTGGAATGAGGCAGTTATGGGAAGGGATTCAAAGGTGAAATAAATAGCCGAGATGTTGAAAGTTCAACATGAAATCCGTTTCAAGTTATCTGACAAGGTTCTTTTTCAGGAGTTGTGGAACTTTATTGTACGGCAATGATGGCTATGATCATAAATGCTTTATGTCTTTCTAAATTATCTTTATCTCAGGTAATAGATTGTCCTTTAAAAATATTAATGTAGGTGCTTTCATTGAGCAGATTCTTAGATTGATTTGGGCCTTTCTATATGAATTTGAGTTAGATTCATCTGATTCCTATGATGAAATAACCTTTATTTAAAAATTGCAGGCTATTTTGCTTCAAATAAAGAACATGGTGAAACTAATTCACACATTAGCTGATCATGGTGATGATGTCAACTGCTGCGCCTTCTCCTCTTCCCTCTTGGCTACTTGCTCCTTGGACAAAACAATTCGCCTATATTCCTTAAGTGACTTTACTGAACTGCCACACTCTCCATTGAAGTTTCACACCTATGCTGTCCACTGCTGCTGTTTCTCCCCTTCAGGACATATTTTGGCTTCGTGTTCAACAGATGGTACCACTGTCCTATGGAATACTCTAAATGGACAGACTTTGGCCGTGATGGAACAGCCCAGTGGTAGCCCTGTGAGGGTTTGCCAGTTTTCCCCAGACTCCACTTGCTTGGCATCAGGGGCAGCTGATGGAACTGTTGTTTTGTGGAATGCACAGTCATACAAGTTATATAGGTATGAATATTTAAATCCTTCTTGTCTTTAATCTTATTCAGATATACCAAAAAAAGAAAAGAAAAGAAAGCAGAAAGTAAAATATTTTTATGACCTTAGGAAACAGATAGTTTTCAGACAGCTTAAGGAAAAATATTTTGACCTGTCTTGTGAAGGTTAAAAAAAAAAAAATAAAAACCCAGATGTTTTTTAAGATTTGTAAGATTTTTATAGTAGATTGCTTGGCTCTCTGAGTTTTAAGTTTCCAGTCTTTCCTTTTTTAAAATAAGTGTTAATCTTGCTAGACTTCTATGGATTTTTACTTTAAGAGTTAGGCACAGAAANAAATAAGTGTTAATCTTGCTAGACTTCTATGGATTTTTACTTTAAGAGTTAGGCACAGAAAACAGCCTTTTGAATAAGGTTCAGTAATTTTAGGCTTTGCCCAAGTGTTCTCAATAATAAAGTAACGATAGGTAAGTCTCACTGAAGAGATATGCTGGGCAAGAGTCCCTATCCTAGTCAGGGATTCTTGCCTGGGAAATGATCAAGCCCAGAACAAAGAACTTTTTGACTAGAGTGGTGGTGTTATTTATCATTTCTTTAAAAATGCATCTGAAAAACTCTTTTGGAAAAAAATACATCAATTAATTTACAACTGGTAATGTTATGTTACAACTTAACCACATTAAAACCACAAATTTTATATTGTGGTAAATATACATAACCTAAAATTTACCATTTTAACCATTTTTAAGTGGACAGTTCAGTGACATTAAGTAAATTAACCGTGAACTTGTAAATGTTACCAATTAAGAAAGCCTGGTTTACCTCCACCTCTTGCCTCCCAACATCATTCAGAGCACAAATGCCAGCTGGTCAACAGCTGTTGCTCATTTAAGCTTAGGTCTCTGGGCTGAAGAAGGTGATGTGTTTTAAGTGTTGTTAAACAGTTTAAAGTGAAAGCACAGAAAGAATAAAATGTCTTTATTTTGCATAAATGAAATAACTCAGCTAAGGAATCTTCTTTTTCACTTATCAGGTGATGGCTTCTGCCTGTATAGCATCATATCCCTAATGTGTGTAATTAACTGTTGTAAAAATGGATACAGTGCTGGATGGGACACTGCACTAATTGTTGGGTTCTTACCAGTTTATTTTTCCTAATTGAGAAAATAATATTGTCTGTGTAGTCCTTCCCTATCTTCCCAAGGTAATTCTAACTTATTCACAGCACTTTCTTTTCATTAGAATTTATATTTGAAGATGAGATGAAAGGCCTTACTGTTGCTTCTGGGTGATTTTAATATAGAAGTTGAAAGTATTTTTGAACCCAATAATACGTTTTTCAATAAAAATAGTTTCATATTCTCTTCGTGTTTAAATATATAGCTATAATATTGTTGGTTGTCATTTCTTTCTTTTATTAAGTTTTGTAGTTTTTAATGTGTTTATACTGACTTGCCATATGAAAATATAAAAAGATATGTGGACTTTGGTTCGGATCCCTATAATTTAGGCTTGAACTTATTAAGATGGTTAAATCCTCCCTTATTTTTAGAAAGCATATAACAGTTTATGGCATGTATATGATATTTTTATAGGCATCAGTTGCCCTTTCTCTCTAGTTCTATGACAGCCATTTATCTTCTTTACTATAGCAAGCTGCTGTTAGAGATTGTAATATAAAGTAAAACATGCTCTGAACAGTTTATGGCATGTATATGATATTTTTATAGGCATCAGTTGCCCTTTCTCTCTAGTTCTGTGACAGCCATTTATCTTCTTTACTATAGCAAGCTGCTGTTAGAGATTGTAATATAAAGTAAAACATGCTCCTAAATGAAACCCCCCTTTTTTTGCTTTTATTTCAGATGTGGTAGTGTTAAGGATGGCTCCTTGGTGGCCTGTGCATTTTTTCCTAACGGAAACCTCTTTGTCACTGGCTCCTCATGTGGAGATTTAACAGTGTGGGATGATAAAATGAGGTGTCTGCATAGTGAAAAAGCACATGATCTTGGAATTACCTGCTGCGATTTTTCTTCACAGCCAGTGTCTGGTTAGTTATTTTACTGTTTTAATCACTAGAAATTCTCATATGTAATGTGTATATGACTTTTTGTTCTTTTATTTATTTCGTTAGTAAAGTGAGAAGCTCTCTTAATTCATTCCTTTTAAGGAATCGTTCTTCTTTATCTTTTTTTGATCAAAATTAAATCATGAAGAAATATGGAAAAATCACCTTCTTTGGCATATGTAGGGGATGACTCAACTTGGTACAATTGAATATGGCACCTTGGAGAGGACTTAAGCATAGTGGTTTTATTGTGTTTTTTTAAATACACTATATTGATATCTAAATAGAAATGTGGAATTAAAATATTAGAAACAGAAGCTACATTTTTCATTTACTAATGTAATCTTCCAAAAGCTAACTCAATAAAATAAGATGTACACAATTAGTTTTAAAAAAACCCAAAAAACGAAACAAAAACTCCTGAATATAGACTCTTGGTTTTAAATAGGTACAGTGAATTGGAAAGTTTTCTTTTTTTATTTTCATTCTCTGTTAGGATAGAAATTCTGCTTTTGCCTTCTCCAGTCTTCTCAGCAGGCCAGTCCTCTCCGTAGCAATATAATGCAAGCCATATAGGTAAATAAAATATTTTCTAGTAGTAGATGAAATTAATTTTCATAACACATTTTTACCCAATGTATGTTATTTTAATAAATGATAATTAATTGAAACTATTAAGGTATTTTCTCTTTTTTTGTTCTAAGTCTTTGAAATCCTGTGTGTATATTATAGCGCATTTCAATTTGGACCAGCTCCATTTCAAGTGTCAGTAGCCATGTATGGCTAGTCTCTGCCTTATTGGACAGCACTGGTGCAGACATTAGACAGGGCGGTTTTGGCACTTCCCTATTTCAAACCCATCAGTGGCTTCTTAAGATATGATTAAGATAAAATCCAAAATCTGAAAAGCAAAGCCTATAAGTACCTTGCCTGTTCTGTTACCCCATCATCTCAAATCACTCTTGGCCTCATGCATTCTCTTGCCACACCAGTTTTCTTTTGTTCCCTCAATGTTTCTAAGATTTTTCTAAGAGTTTACATGAAGACCCTTCATCTGGTTCACTCTATAGTCATCCTTTAGGTTTTAGCTAAAAAAATCTCTTTAGATGAGCCTCTCCTGCGCTTACCCTCTGTGCTTAATCTGTCTCATTTTTTTTTCCTTTTTGTCTTTTTTACTAACCGGTAACGGGATTGCAACCCTCGGTGTCGCGCCTGTACTGGGGACCGGCAACAGGATCG